ATGATAACTCTATCCGTTTATGGGATGTTGCAACAGGATAATAAAACGCAAAATTAGATGGTCATAAAAATTTGGTTATGTCAATTTGTTACTCTCCTGATGGTACAACATTAACATCTGGTAGTTGGGATAACTCTATCCGTTTATGGGATGTTAAGACAGGATAATAAATAGCCAAATTAGATGGCCATTCAGATTATGTAAGAACAATTTGTTACTCTCCTGATGGTACTACATTAGCATCTGGTAGTGATGATGACTCTATCCGTTTATGGGATGTTAAGACAGGATAATAAAAAGCCAAATTAGATGGTCATTCATCAACAGTTTATTCAGTCAATTTCTCCCCTGATGGAAATACATTTAGCTTCTGGCAGTGATGATAACTCTATTCGACTTTGGAATGTACAAACATCAAAGGAAATACTTCAATCAGAAAGTGGCTATGAAGACTTGCTTGCCTAGTTCAACATACCTCTTCAGAATAGCTCCTTATTGCCAAATGGTATTTATTATTCATTATTATTTAGTTAATCCTGATCGTACAATACTTAGAATATGTTAGAATCCTTTATTAGAAGCATCAGGAACACTTATCTTATAAGGACAATTCGTAAATTATTAAGGGATAGATTTAAAACCATTGTTTAAAACAAAAGGAAGTTGCTTTTTAGAGGACTTAAAGCATAAGTGAAATTGATTATTCATTAAAAAAATTACAATTACAATTTTATCATTTTCTTAAAACTTTAGATTTTGTTTGCAAATCTTGATCTTCATTTCTTAAGATCGATAATTACATTTTTTCAAGCAAGTGATTATACCATTTTAATTTAATATTTTTAAATATATACCATACTACATTAAATTTATAATCTAAACCGTAAACAGGTTTAGTCGTTATAAAGATTATTAATAGTTTAGTAAAATTTAGATCTTTAGGTTAGAAAAAGGTAATGATACAATTTAACTTACTAATAATCTTAAATGATAAAAAAATTAAACATTGGGATTGATAGATTTTTAAAATTACTCTACTCTAACCTCGGTAATATTTTCGTAACCTGTTATTTATTATTTTCAATTGATATTAAAAGTATTAGAGATTAATAAAGACTGAAAAGATATATTAATCATCATTAAGTATTCTAACCCCTAATATTTAGAGATCATAATTATACCCATCTCTAACAATAATCTTAATTAAGTTCTATATGAATTACATCCAAAGTATACTTTCAATAATAATTTTGTAACAGCCATTAATCACTCTGATAAGAACTATGTAATCTCACCTCAAACTGATTTTTTTTTTACAAATTAATTAATATCTACACAACGATAATATTAGTCAACTAGTTCAATTTTTTAGATCATTATGAAATTAAGAAATTACTGAAGATAATGTTAAAAAATAACAAAAATGGTCTAATCTATTACTTTGAGTTTAACCCAATTAGACATTAAATTTTTAACTAAATTTTTAAATAATTGTATTATTTTCACTTTAAACGTTTTAATGTTATGGCACAAACACTAAGAGAGATAGAGCAGCTTATTATAACACACAGGATATCTTTCTATTTTAACATAAATTTCGTTATATCCATTCGGTGAGAATTATTTTAAAATCCTGTGTTTAGGCAGGGTAGAAATATCATCTTCAAATAATCGTTATAAAGATAACCCTTCAACTAGTTAATAGAATGTTCTTCCAGAAAGTGATATTTCTTTCACTATTCGTAGCTCTCACTGATATCACCAATCTAAAAATTGGATAGTTTTTGATTATAGAGGATATGATTTACAATTATCATTTAAATCTAAAGGTAGTTTAATTTTAGAGAAGGGTCTAAAATAGAAACAAATTGATTTTTATGAAAAGTCATCTTACTCAGAGAAATGGTTCTAACTATTTTTTAATTTGTGTAAGTAGAAATTCTGTTATGATTCCAAAATTCTTCAACTGAGAAAGAGATCTCTTATTTTCAGAAAATTTTATATATTTATATAAATATTAACATGATAATTAACCTATAGAAATAATATCAGTCAAAAGAGAGAGTAATTTTAAACACAAGCCTGAATAAATCTAATTTAGAAAATGTTTCACACTTTAAACTTGACATAATTCTTAACCCTCTGTGAGTTTCAGTAATTCAATGCTAAAGATTTAAATGCTTGAAAGTAATAAATTGAATATGTGAATGTTCAATCATAAATGCATATCTAGGTGATTATTTGATGCTGGTGATCATTTATTTTGTTCTATATTTTAAGAATTCAATTATGCACAAGGTTAACGAGTTTCCCTTGTAAAATTTACAAAATCGCATATCTATCTTCCATATTTAGTGTTAGGTACTTTTGGTTTGTAATATAAAACTCAAAATAAAGTAATAGAAATTCATTAATTTTAAAAAAAGAAAATGTATTGTGTACAAGAGTATGTTGGAGAGTTGTATCAGATTTTGTCGTTATCGAATGAGATTGATGAAGCAGTCCTCCCTATCCTCATAGAGACATTAAAAAAGGAGAGAATTTAAGACTGCCTAAAATTTTTCTCTTAAGATCAAAACAAATTCCTTTAAGAAATAGAAAGGTAAAAGGTAGAAAACTAATCTCTGCTTGAGAAAGAATCAACTCTTAATGGAGAGAAGAACTTGAAGATAATAACAGGTGTCCTCAAAAAAGTTATGTATCATGACTTTAATACACAGAATTACTCTATGGATGATTATGAAGAATTTAAAAAGGATCTAATCACAAAAATATCATTGAATAAGAAGATAATAGAATTCCTAAAATTTTTAGTTCATTTGACTGCTTTAGATGAGATCTATATTTGGTGTGGATCAAATTCTCTTCATTTGCTAGTTTAAATGAAAGTGGATTTGAGGGAATAAAGTTTTGAGAATATAAGGATAAGAAATACCTCTTTAGTTGGTGGGAATTTTGTAAGATGCATATTCAATGGATCAGAATTTGACAATGTAGATATTAGCGGAATGAACTTGAATCAAGCATTATTGTTTAATTGTAAATGGAAAAATATCAAAATTCATGAGTTAAATAAACTAGATGGACATCATGGAAACATCAATTAGGTCTGCTTTTCTCCAGATGGTAAATCATTGGCTTCTTGTAGTGATGATAATTTGATTATATTGTGGGATATTAAAACTGGGAAAAAAAAGTTTAGAATCAAGGAAAAATGGGAGGTAAAATCAGTATGCATTTCACCTAATAATACTATATTAGCCTTCAGCAGTAGATAATTTGTGTATTTATGGAATCTTAAAACGGGGAAATTTATAGTGAAACTAGGTGGTCATTCAAGTGCTGTTTATTCAATTTGTTACTCTCCTGATGGTACTACATTAGCATCTGGTAGT